CAAGCCGCATTCTTTACGCTATTCGTTGATCTGATCGGGTCGGTACTTATTCTGATAGTTGTACTCTCCCTAGATTGAGAAGAGGAAAAGGGAGTAGACATAGTACCGGAAAGTACGGATTCGGGGTTCATCCCTCAATCAAGCACTACTTGAAAGGTAGGATAGATTCCACTCCCAGTTAGTACGTACCTTTTCTTTTAGCAAGAACTCTTAATCGTTCGTATCCCATACCCATGGGCTACTTCACTGAGACGATGGTAGGAGTTTCAAAGCTGGTTTGAGAGAACCTGGTTAAGAAAGATAGCTGAAAGTGCTAGTATAAGGAAGAGATTCTATGGATGGAAAGAGGCCCTTCCTTGCTTTCAAGGTCCCTTCCCTTTGGACAGCTTTTCAAAGGCATGATACCTTACTAAGGCATTCATTCAAAGGATTTTAGCTTCATCTGGCGTCCGCGGTAAGAGTACTTCCAATTTCCCTTTTTTAAAGCATTTATTTAGGCCTGCCTTTTCCCTATGATTTATAAGCCTAAAACTCGGCAATCCCCACTCGCCTCATTCTATGCTTGAAAGGATCAGGAACAGAGGGACAAACGGAAGTCGATACAAGCAGAATGACTAAGCAAAGTACGTTCAGTTTTATCACCCGGGCCGGACCGACAGCGGAAGCCTAGCACTAAGCTCAATCTCCAGCGACAACTGCATGAACGACGAATTGCCCGCCAACTATGGACGGTATAGAAGATGAACTTCGCGCATACACCGTTTAACCACGATTGCTCAACTGTCAATGTGCAACTTTCCTTGTTCTTGTTAGTAGCCATTCAGAGCGGACAGGCAAGGAGAAGTCCCAATGCTTTCGTCTCAGGTTATAAACTATAGATTCTCATTCGGGATGAGTTTCAGTTTCCTTTTCTTACTTTAGTATTCGCTTCATCTTGATGACTTAGGAAGATGGATTTGTTCTCGAGAACAAGCTCAAAGCTGCCTAGCTTGCTTGTTTCCGGTGTGAAATAGTTTTTCCCTAGTCCGGCTCTATAAGAATAGTACTCTAGACATCTACTCATAACAATCCCTTTCCGTGATCTAGGTCCCTTTGCTGTTCTTTAGTCATTTTCAGGGAAATAAATCCTAAAGGTATGACTTCACTAAGCTTTCTATAACTCAAGAAAAAGAAAAGATTCTCTAGACACCCTAGCTAGCTGCAATCCAAACCTCACCTCTCCCATGTTGGGAATTCTCTTCCCCTCGTGGATATCTAATGCTAGAAGTTCGAGCAAATAAGGAAGCCATAATCATCTCTTACTTAAGTATGAAAATGGCCCCTAATGCCCCCTATTCGCGAAATCTGACTGAATAGGAACTGCACTTAGACTTGCCTCTATGGCTATTGCGCTTTTTCCGACAGCAGCTAACTCACTGGCACGCTTAACGCCCTTGCGCCTGGTCTTTCAAACCACCTGGAAGCTAACAACTTTCTTTATTACTGGTGTATACTATACTATACATGGAATACAGATGAATGAAAAAAAGATTTGATTCCAGTCGGGACTCACGAACGGGATAGGGCGAGAAGTAAGAAAAGGACGGACTTTCACTTAATAACATAGGGTTCGGTGGGGAACATCTTTGAATAAGTTGCCTAGGTCTGTAAGCAGTACAACCAAAGACTTGACTCGTACAGCCAACATCGAGTAAGGGGATGGATAGTATGATAAGTATCCAACAAGCGGTAAGAGTCCAGTACTGGTTTAATATATAGCCATGGATGGAGAGAGAAGCGGCCAAGATTACTAAACTAAAGAGCCCTGTATTTCGCCTCTGCACTCGAGCGAGAGACAGTAGGCTGCTTCTTGGCAGACCAAGATACAGAATGTGCTCCAAGATCATAACAATACCCAGTGATGGATCACCGACTATCTTGACAACTAGCCCAATCCGCATCAGAGAAGGTTGGGCTGGGAGAGTGAACGATTTATGTGGCCAGAGAAGCATAATGAGCCATGCCACGTAGATAGCAATGAATACGCTTAACGGCCTGTATACGAGTAGCGTGCATGTATGGAGAAATCAGTCAAACTTCATCTTCATGAGAAAGATCGGCTTTTTGAAGGCTGTAGGCCTCTACAAAGACTACGTGGACAGATCGAAGGACAGTGAGGTTTAGCTTGGTATTAGGAGACAAGGGAGTCTTGACAGGTATTCTCAAGATCAGTACGGCACACTTACTATATCTCACTATATCTCACAACCGATATGCGATGTAAATAAGATATGCGACATAGAGATAGAACTCCTCTGCGGCATCCACAGTCCTCACATCTGATTCCTATACAAAGAATAGCGTGCTATCGTAAGATTCTTAATGCAAACTCAACTCCGGGATTCTCTTACGCAGAGGGCCCTGAGAAGCAAAGACACTTTTTTCGAGTCTCTGAACACCCTGCCCGCATCTAGGATTCGATAAGGACGTTTTAAAGAAGAGATAAAGGCTATTCCTGACAAAGCTTTCACTTCGTCCTCGTAAGGGCAAAAAAGAGTATGGGTATCCGTCTTTCAAGCAGGAAAGAGAGCAGGAAGTTCGGTTCATCAATGTCGGTATCTCAGTCACAGATTGATGTTGTCCTCAAAATACCCCTTGTTTTGATTCAACTATATCCGTAGTATCAGGATTTCGACCACCAGGTCGTTCTTATAGATATCGATCTATTTGGCTAACTACGCTGGAATAGAGCCATTCTAAGTAGAACCCTTCTTACGATATGTCAGATAGAGCGGAATCAGTCACGTAATAGCCCCCAGCCCTTTCCTTACGATGATTCATGCCTTGCTCGTGTCGTAAGAATGTCGTATGCAAATTCATTCACTTTTGGTATAGAATAAATGGGCGAAAGCCCGATGCAGCAACTTGCGAGGGGTTGTGCTTTGCTACTTGCTGAGGTTTCCATCTATTGTATTTATCTACATGGGAATGAATTCGTCCGTCAAACCTGCCATTTGTATGCACCAAAACATGTTCAATCGACCTTCGGCGTAAGCGACTTCGTACTGCTATAGACTCTAGTTAGGACTTTCATATGAACACCCCCCTTCGTTAGAATCAACCCTATTGTTTCTTAGTAAACAGGGATCGTTCAGTAATGACCTAGTCTTTCGCGAGACTTCAGGTTTACTTCTTTTGTTAGGTCTCCGTTATGATCGCGTTTTGTACCCCTACTAAGAACTTGAGAGACGGAACTATAACTATGACTCACATAAGCGGTATATTAGTGCCTGATGCGGGAAATCCTTGCTTGACTTGTTGATCATCTATCATTACAGGCGAAGCAAGCATACCGATAATCAACTCGCTTGAGAGAACAATTCGAGAAGAAAGACCCCAAGTCAGCCTAATAAGTTAAACCCAAGGGTTAATCCCATTTTCTCTTTTTTTCCGGGGCCTAAGTCCTCTTCTCCTTTATCCTTGAACTTTAGGGGGAAGTAGCAGTCTTCGAGGATGCATGCAGGTCTTTAGTTATCAATATACCCGTTCTGTTTCTGATATGGTATCAAGGAGAAGCTAACTAAATCAATCCATTATCCGCTAACGGAGACGTAGGATTCTACCTATATCTTCTAGGATGAGGAAGCCAGTCATCTTCTTTATGTTGCGGGGGGAAATACGTATGATAAAGCAATTAATCTTATTGCCTTTGTACCTTATTCCCTTCCTTACCCGGGTCTTAGCCACTTAACTCCTAGAAGAGTGATAAGGCGAGAACATTACAACAAGTCAGATTCCTTCTATTTTAGCTAAGAGATCAAGAGGATCTTCAAGTCCAGCCTCTTCCAATTCTCTGGGCTTCTATTCCCCTGTCTTTTGCTCAGTATTGACTGAAAAAATCTAACCTAACCCTAAAATTGATAATTCTAATGGTCACTCGATGGAACCCTTAACGATAGGGCTTGTACAGGAAATAAGTGCTTTGTCGGTTGAAGGTGCTCTCTTGCTGCTTCTTTAATGGGTAGCCCTGAGCTAGGGTTCCCTCATACCAAGGATATCACTAGTGAAGCCTTACCTTCAGTTAAATATTATAAAACCCTTCGCCCTATCTTGGATTCGGTGAACTTTCACTCGAGCTTTATCGGGGTACTCGTCTATCGCGCTTAGAATAGAAGATAGGATACTACATCCCTTTGGGGGCTAAGGGCGCAGCATCGGCGGTAAGAGCAGTAGACCCGCCCGCAATGGAAACTGAGCAAATCCCTTTCTCATTATGAACCTACTTTCTTCGCACTCTAAAGGGGAAAGCCGGTTTCAGGCAGCAAGGAGTACGAGAACATTTTTTAGTTATCACCCGATCTCATGTCTTAGCCAAAACAGGATATAAGAGAACGAAGAGAAAGAGACAAAGAGAAGCTAAAGGACGGATTGAACAGCTGCTTTGAAGGAAGGAGTGCTAGCCAGTCCCAAGATAAGGACGGGAGACATAGCAACCTCCATTAAGCTTGAAAGAAAGCTCTGAAAGCCCTGTTTCCAGGTAAGAGCATGGAAGGGGAAGGCAACGAAGTTCAACAGAAGCTAAGGGGCTTATGTCATGGTGCATCTCATGTATTCTTTCTCCCAGTCTGTAGAGATCACAGGGACAAAACTATGAATGGCAAGGCGGGTTTACTCGGGGAGAAGGAAGGGTCCTAGCTACCGAGCTTAGAAGACAAACAATCAGTCACGGTCTGAAGGAAGAAAGGGATTGCCCTATCTTCAAAGGAAACTCCTGAGATAGAAGTAGTACGCGCACATATATATGGGGCGGGGGCAATATCGGTCTTTTTTCATTCTTTCTCATTACTCGTAAGACCACCTCCAATGTGTATATTCCCTTGTTCTGTTTCGGTATTTCCTTTCTTTATTAAAGGGATTTAGGAACTGAAGATCTTAACAAGTAGAAAGAGAGAGAACAATAGTCAAGAAAAATAGTCGTAGCAAGCCGCATTCATAACAGGAAAGGGAAAAGATAACTTATTTCGATCCATTAGGTTCTTCGATTTGTTCAGAAAAGAAACGAGAGACAAGAAAAAAATCTTTGATACCTTCATTTATGTGCCAAAATAGAGAGAGATTTAGTAGGAAAGTGGAATAGACTTTTTTGTATATAAAAATTCAAGGGAGTAGGAAAGCTGCAGTAATTCTTTGGAAAAGCCCGTTCTCTTTGTCTTCGAGCTTTCATTCCTCAATCCACTGATTCGTTCCTTCATATACCTCCCCACCAATAGATAGAGACAAATAGGAATAACCAAACCACGTCTACAAAATGCCAGTACCATGCAGCTGCTTCAAAGCCAACGTGATGCTCCTTGGTCAGATGACCAAGATATTGGCGAATACCACAGATAATCAAGAAAAGAGTACCTATAATCACATGAAAACCATGAAAGCCAGTTGCTAAGAAAAAGGTAGAACCATAAATACTATCCGAAATAGTGAAGGGTGCTTGATAATATTCCATTCCTTGAAAGCCAGTGAATACTAGAGCCAATAAAACGGTAGCTACTAAAGCGTAAACTGCTCGTTTTTCCTTCCCCGCCAATATAGCATGATGAGCCCAAGTTACGGCAGCTCCGGATGATAGGGGAATAAGGGTATTAAGAAAAGGGATTTCCCAAGGATCTAAAACCTCAATCCCTTTTGGGGGCCAAATACCTCCGATCTCTACCGTAGGCGCCAAAGAAGAATGAGAAAAAGCCCAAAAAAAAGCAAAAAAGAACATAACCTCCGATACGATAAAAAGAATAAAACCATATCGAGGTCCTAATTGTACGACTTTGGTATGATGTCCTTCCAACGTGGATTCACGTAGAACATCGCGCCACCATACGAACATGGTATATAGGATAAATATAAGGCCAAAACTGAGAAGTGTTGCACCCCCTTGAAATGAGTGCATGTACATCACACCTCCTACGGTTGTTGCCAAAGCTCCGAGTGAACCCGAAATAGGCCATGGACTTGGATCTACCAAATGATAAGAATGCCTCTGAGATTCAATCATAAACCACTTTACCTCGGTTGTATTGTAAACCCCCCTTCACCCACACCCCCTAAAGTAGTAAAGAGAAGGGCTCTTTGGGGTCTAATTTTCTTTCTATCTTACAGGACAAACAAATAGGAAGGGATGGTTTTTTCATTGCTTTGATAGAAGTCTAACTAGAAAAGGATTTTTCTACTATGACTTTTACTCCTTTTACTTTGAGAAGAGAATCGTTGGTTTGACCGACGAACTACGTGGGAAAATAGACCTTCTTTCTTTGATTTTAAACAAGATTATAGGAAAAAAAGAATCCCAACATTCTCATTCACAAGATTCAAGGCTATTACGAAATTTAAATAGTGCCCCACATTCTTATTATTTCGAGAGTTTTAATCATAATGGGGTCATAATCATACCCGCCTTCTAATAAGAGGGCATGCACATAGGTGAGAGTGGATAGATCTGTCAAATCAGCATTTATTGAACAAATGACAGATTGTGCCAATTTATTAGTCCAGGAGTGGCCCACGCGAAGTGTTTCAATAGCGACACGACAGCAGCTCCAACTGAAGCAATTGAAGCTAGGTCGGCATTCTTTTGAGCAGACATCTTCCTCTAAAAATGAATAATATCTTCCCAAGTCATAATGAGATTAAAAAGCGATGCTTCCTTGGCCATGTGGAACATGGATTAGCATTATGTCATTCCTACAAGCGATCCCCCAGCCAGGATTGGAAGAAGTGCTATATGAGGACTTCGAAATCAAATAGAATATGTTTCTTTCCATTCCTCGTGAGCCGCTTATTTCTCCGAAACAGGAGATCAAAGTCATCTTCTTCCTTTTCCCCAATAAGTCGACGGCCTTACACCATTGGGATACTTCGAATAAACTGGAGTACATATAGGATACACCGGTGCTAAAACCTTTTTTTAATATATCTTCCAAACTTTTTGGGTCCTTGCTCCGGATCTTATTCTCCCGGTGTGAAAGCAGTTGGTTTCGTAGTTTTAGAATTCTGCTGATCCCAAGTACTCCGTCTCGATCATTGCATATGGCAATATAGAAAGTAAAGAGGAAAAGGCATGACCAGAAAAATTGTGTGAAATAGGTGAATTTATCCAATTGAGGCATGATTGATTCGTCTAAAATGATTATTCTCCCTCCTTACCTTAAGTCCGTCAAGCCTGTAAGAGTAGTCAATAAAGATAGAAAGCTTTTCTTGGTTGTTGACCAGGGGAAAAGAAAGAAAGATGCACACTATCCTCCGTAACTCAACCCAACCTGTCCTCCACAAACATGACGTTTGCCCCGGTAAGCGAGCCACACTACGATCATCGTCGTCGTTCTAAAAGCAGATCATAGTTCTGGACTGCTCTTATAACGCGCCGATACGGCACGCTTGCGCGGGTTCCGTGCTCTCGAATCTGAGTGACGTACGATTCATAGGTACGTGCACTCAAAAGCTCTCCTCGCGGAGCATGGATGAGGCCCCGTAGCTCCCTGGAGCTGTCGGAAATGGACGCGGGCGTAAACCCATCATCCACTAAAGCAGCTTCCACATATCGTTCCACTATGACTTGAGCGTCGATAATGGATACCATACGTCGCAGGTCGAGATCCCCCCCCCAATTGAGAAGCAAGTACCGACGATAAAGGACGTTACTTCTCATTTCATCCGAGAGAAGAGGTTGGGCTAATTCCGCTATAATGGGGCGAGGCACCAGCGGCGCCACGGGTTGAGGAAGAGGCTCCTCCGGCAATGGGATCGGACTAGGGGGCAGCCGGAAAGAATTCTCCTCCTCGCAAGAAACTACAGGTATCAAAGTTGCAGAAAAGAGGAATGTTCCCGCTAAGGCAATAACGAAAGAGATATAATAGAAAGGACCATAGCAATCCCAATAGTTACGTTTTGTCCATAACGAAATCGATAACGAAAGAAGTAATGAAAGAAGTATAGATCGTGCATCGGGATGTACGTTGCTGATTTTTAGTTCTATCAGCTCCGCAACCATAAAAAAAAAAGAAAAGAGACGAGAACAGCCGAAATGGAAAAATGTGGCAATCATGATTTTTTTGCCTCGAAATCACGCTTTTTGATTTCACAATTTTCTTATAGCCCTCTCTTTAAATATTTAAATTGAAGTGGGTTTCGCTTTTCCTCCATCCTTTGATCTTGGACATCTCACTTGGAATGATCTTCTATCTACGATACTGAACACAATAAAATTTCGACTTTTCCCTTTTCTTATGATATTTCTCGTTCCCGTCGAAAAGAGAACAAGCCCCTTCTATTATATTCTATTATTATTTTGTCACAAGAAGCAGGATGCTCTTTCTTGCTGGGTATGAATCCCATCTCTCGACGACGTTGGTCCTTCCTTCCCGCCCTAAGAGCTGATTCGAGGGCATCAATTAATGTGCTTGTCTTCTTTTACTATTATACCTATATACCTACCCATTTATGTCGAATTGTGCACAACCGATTCTGTAACAAGAAGAGCGGATACGTCGTTCTTTCAAAGAGCGCTTATTCTCCTTCATGTGCAACCTATTCCCCCTAATCAGGCCAGGAAAGGTAGGAATGCAATGCTGCACAATCTAAGGACCCATTCCCGGCATATCATCATAAGACTAAGGGACAACATCGATGAACTCATTAAGCAGGGCCACTCACTCAGCCTTCTCATCGTTAGAAAGACTAGAACCCAGTTTGACTTCCTTTCACTGTACCCAAATTCACTGAAACAGTCTCTTCCATAGCTGGTTGAGCTCTAGATGTCTAGACTCGCTTCATAGATTACATAGATTACGCTCGTTCGGTTTTGGGATTTCACCTTCATCTGGCCTGGCCTCTCTCTCGCAAGAACTTTTTCTCACATCACATTGGAATGGAATGCAAAGCATTCTTTTCGGTCTTGTACTACGGTACACTGAACACCTACCCAATAAGGACAAAAAAGAAAGTGAAAGCAAGTAGATCTCCCACTTACCTCTGAAAAGCCCTGAGCCGAGCTAATGGAAAGTGCCTATGAATTTGAAAAAAGAAAGAAATGGGAGTTTTTGGCTTGCAATAAAGCTAGGGCCCTGCTCGAGCAAGACGTAGTCCTATCTATCCACCTCCCCAAACACAATATCTTGAGTACCTATGATGGTGACCACATCTGCTGGCATGTGATGTTTGGACATAGAATCGAGTCCTTGTAAATGGGCAAAGCCAGGTGCTCTTATTTTACAACGGTAGGGACGATTGCTTCCATTACTGACCAGAAAGACACCAAATTCTCCTTTAGGTGCTTCAACTGCGGTATAGGTAGAAGAAGCTGGTACGGAAAAACCTTCTGTATAAAGTTCGAAATGGTGAATTGAGGTAGAGTAGACCGATGATCCTGTAGTCATTTGACCGGCTATTGAAAGAAAAAGCTTGCCTTGCATCTGCTTCCCCTATAATATAACCGGTCCCATCTCTCTCCAAACCTAACGTGGTAGTTTCCCATCATAGGGCTTTCTATCTATAGATTAAGCCATTACCAAGGAGCTAATTCGTTCAGAACTCAGTTGACTGCTTCTATAGATAAGGCGGAGTGCCCTTGGCTTAGCATTATAGCAGCACATAGAGCTTCGGCGCTACTACAGCGCTTCGATAACTCGAAGCGCCTCGTTATGAGAATCTAGCTTCGCTAACGCTCGGCTAAGTCTTGAACCTTCGCGCTGACCATTCGCTTTCTTAGTAGCAAAAGCGCTTCTCTTTGCCTCTTAAGTATAAGGCCATAAAAGATAATATTCCTTTTCTTGCTTCCGCTTCCTCCTTATCTGCGCGCATCAAGCCATTTTTCGCCCAAGCTTACTAAATAGTAATAGGGGTAATTTATTCGCACCTGACTGTGATAGCCCTCTCCCTTATTGGAGCTTTGTAACTAATGGACGGTTTCCCGTCGCTAGAGCGTTTTCCCAGTGCGCGGGACCCGAACGAGGAAGGTGTTAGTGGTTTATCATTGGGTCAATAAGACTAATCCCTATTTTTTTGTTGCGCTATTCCTACTCCTAGGGCGGGAAGCAGATAAGAAAACGCGAAGCGTTCTCTTGGTTTCCCAACCTGTTCTTTCTAAAGACTGTCCTCTCTCGGCTGGATGTTGGTCCGGCCTACTACGAGGATCCCGTATCCAGCAACCCAACCTATACAAAGGGCATCAAGCCCCCTTTACTAGGTTGGAGCTATGAAGCTTACTTTATTATTAAAAAGGGAAAAGGCTTTTTCATTTTCAGCTGGTGCGCACTTCCGTTTTCCCTTTACTATTAGGGGTCCCGTGGTTCCTATGCCGCCGTGTTTCCTGGTCCTTTTCTTTTAGTGCTTCGACCCAAAGCGATAGCTTCTAGCTAGTTCAGTGGATAAGAGGGCTGCGCTCCAGCTCACTCAAGAATGGGACGGCAGTGGTCCGCCGGCAAGCTCGTTCTGATCTTGGACGCAGTAGATTGGAATCCTGAAGCACTGCCACGAACGCTACCGCCCGTCCGCCTGCGGTGCGGTAAGACACCATCCTGCTGTGCCAGCAGCCAACTCCGGCGTGTCAGCTTAGTTATCCTCATCAAGCCACTTACTTGATGTCTAGCTTCCTAACTGGTAGACGCCTCCCTTTCCCCCAGATGAATGAAGAAGGAAGTGGATTCCTCCGAAGAGCCGGAAGCGAAAAGCGCTATGCCGGGGCGGGGGGACGGGAAAAGAAAGGGCTCCGAAGAAAGAAATTGGGGTTCCCAACGCTTCTCCACGCTCAACGAAATGCGCCAACCTCGGAATGCTTTACTCCTAACCCCCACAAGGTTCCGAGACGGAGCTTAACCTGAGTCTCGGTTAAGAACGGCGATGATCTACGTTTCACACGGCGCACGATTCCATGGATAGTTTCATTCGACTTCGTGATGGAGGACATAGCTTACGATCATCGGCTTTGATTATGCCACTAGGCATTTGATTAAGACATTGCACAATGATCCGAACACTTTGTCGCATCTCTTCGATACGAATACAGTAACGATCATAGCAATCTCCTCTGGTACCTACTGGTACGTCAGGATCCGATTGGTCATAAACATCGTAAGGTGCTGCTCTTCGCAAATCCCAACATACACCTGGACCTCTTAACATTACACCACTGAATCCCCAATCCTTTGCTTGCTGTGCAGTGACAGTACCAATATCCACTAATCGTTGTTTCCAGATACGGTTGCCGGTTAACATCTCTTCTAATTCGTCGATACGAGAAGCAAATTGTTGTGTGAAGAAATCAATATCTCGACATAAGCCCAGAGGCAGATCTTGTGCCACTCCACCTGGTCGTATGAAACTGGCATGCATTCTGGCTCCCGAGACTCTTTCATAGAATTCCAACAATTTCTCTCGCTCCTCAAAAGCCCACAGGAACGGAGTTGATGCTCCCACATCCATAGCATGAGTAGTTAAAGCAAGTGAATGGTTTGAAATTCGAGTTATTTCACGGAATAACACTCGTATATATTGAGCTCGTAATGGTACCTCACAATTCAAAAGTCTCTCTACGGCTGAAGAATAAGCGTGTTCTTGGGCCATCATAGAAACATAGATAGGGTCAACGACGGAACGAACAACGAAACTTTACGACAGCTTTTTCGTACACGTTCACTTGCATCACATACACAAGTGCTCTCTGAACCGTGCAATAAGGTTACCCATAACACGGCTCCCCCACTTGAGTTATCTTAGCCCCAGGCCATGCTATTCAATAAGATTGGAAAAATGGCACCGTAAGGTAACAACTAGTATTGAAAGCTGGTCGCCTTATCTAATAGCTTCATTCGCCGGTAACCAAAGCGTATCGTTCCCGCAACAACCACTTGGGTACTACTTTGTTTATAGCTTTTTTAGGTTATGCAATAGAGGGGGGCTTGGTTCTCTATTTCCGGCCCTAGGGGGGTTTACTCGACCTATTCTCCAGTCTCCCGCATTGCTCAAGTAAGTGTGCGACTCCATATGAGGACCTCCTTCTCTTCTGCCCACTCTCCGTTCACACGGTTTTCAAAACACCGGAGGAAGGGTGGGCAGCAGGTACCATGAGCCCTCTGTCCCACACATCTATCCAGAAGCAAGTGTAGTTCACCGGTTCCACCGAATGCTCCTATCTCTCGGCAAAGATCGTGTGAGTGTGCAGTTATGCTTCGGATGCTTCGCCATAGAATAGATGGACATAGTTCCCGTTCTTTTCCGGCGCACTCGCTTTATATCTCCGATACACAAGGAAGGACGCGCTGGGAAGGAAGCAGCCCTAGCCTTTGTCCGGCCGATCATTCCGCTGGCATCTCGCATTCACGCCCCCGTTTGACTGCCGCTCGGGGATGTAGTTGTAGATAGGTTAGTCTTAGTGGGTCGTTGGCTCCACCTGTTATCTCCTTCTATGACATGCTGTTGTCGTCGCCATATTCCATATGTCACTTAGTCATCTCTGCCTCGCTGCGGGTCAGCACCTCCGAAAGAAACGGAGGACTTCATTCAGTGACCCCGCGATCGCCCTCTGAACGATCAGAATAAGGTAAAGCTTGAAGATAAGTTTTGTACTCTATTAATTTCTCAGTCCCTCTAGTCGGGTGGGCGCCGGCCGGTCTTTCGACCAGATCCCCCTAAAAACCGTACGTGCGGGTCTCCCCGCATGCGGCTCACGCCATTCGAGGCGGCCCAGCATTCATTCGCAAATCCTGTAGTGAAATTGAGACTGCTCAACCTCGGAAGCGGATTCGCGTGTAGGCAGCGCTGTCTGTCGTACCGTTGACTCTATCTATTCATTGAATTTTCTTTTTTTTTCGCTCCCAAGAATTCATGCACTTCCCTTTACTCCAGAGGGCCTTATCTAATAGCTTCGTTCGTTCCTTACATTTCCGTCAAATGACCTGGCCTTCCCCGACTCTTCCACCGTCCGGGCTCCCTTTCCTCCCTATGTGCTATGCTCCCCCGGCGCAGGCCTACCGCGCTTCGCGCCTGCGGCGTTTTCGCCAGACGGTCTTTGCCAGTAGTGCCATCCTCCCCGCTGGCTGTATGGGCGGGTTGTCCCTCGCTGCTGCGTTCTGTTAGGCTATGGATTACAGGAACAAATGTAGTTGAATGGAAGAGCAGGCGGGTTACACGTTCCACTGTGCCGAGATGTAAGGTGCAGGTGGTGATTATCACCCCGGGGTATGCGCTAGCGCCCTTGACAGGCACTCCAGAACCCGCCAACGCTCGTGAAAACCCAGGTCGGTCGGTCCTCCATTCATCCGACCTCCGGTGTGGATAACGAGGCCACCTTCACAACCCTCTCCCTTCTGTCCCTATGTTGTAATAAGGTAGGGCGGTTCCCTTGAGTTGCTCAACCGCCCCTTAGTCCGGTGCTCATGATGCGTTATGGAACCTCTATCGTATCGAGGGACCAAGCAGGGCATAGCTAGCGGCATAGAAGCCGACTCGGCATCAGCGGCTTCGTGCCGCACTGGAGTAATCCAATATGTGGTTCCGCACGTTCTACCACTTCTCCGTTCATTTCCAATACTGATCGTGAAACACCATGAGCAGCAGGATGTTGAGGTCCGAAATTCGAAGTGAAATTTTTTATTTGCCTGTTCCTAGTCGTCATGGGAAAGAAAGGCAGAAAGAAGAAATATATTATTCCCTGAGAGCTTGTCAACCAGTACCAGAAATGCATCTCCTTCGCCCGCGAGAGACTTCTATGCCAGCCGGGAATAACGACTCTGTTATGAAAGAAAGCGGCAGACAGACTAATTTGGACGGTATTCCCCAATGAGTAGCTTTAGGAGATTAAGGTCCCCCTTATATTCTCCATCCATCTGCGGAGACGGATACGTAAACCCTTCGCAGCAAAGATGGTATGGTCGCGCTCTTACTTGGAAGTGGTCTCAGTAGCGAAGTCAATAAAGAGGGTAGTCCTCATAGCTAGGAAGTTTAAGATTATTATTACGAGTTACTACGTATCATTAAGAACTAGAATACTAGAGCAAGCCCCCTTCCTTAATCAAAAGTCAAATCACCAAGGAATTGGGCACCGGTCAGGTCTAGAACAAGGGACAATGGGTTCCTTACTCTGTTGATGAATCCGTTCTAGACTTACCAACCATATTCTATTCATATTCTTCGGCTTTGGCTTCAGGGTATGCTCAACAGACGAATCCGCGAATGAAGATGTACCAGTTCTTTTTTTAGAAACTATATGCCAATAGCCTCACTTCGCGCAGCTTCGTTCGTTGGTCTCTCACTCTCTTGCTTGGGGTCCGGTAAATCCGTTTACCAAATCAATATCTCCACTACGGTACACTAATCCATTTGATGTAACATCTATTCTCCTTCGAGCTGTCAAATCAGAGTACGGAGGCGCGGCTGCGGCGAAAGAATCATTTTATTCTTGTATGTAATTATTCCCAAACCACGCTCATTCCTTACAAAAAGTGGGAGTGGCATCGGTGTCCCGTTCATGCCCTGGAATAACTTTGAGAAATTTCACATTTATGGGCCGAGTTTACACGAGATTATGATCATACGGTATTTTAGGTAAATGAAAACCCCTATATCAAATATAGTAGTTCTATAACTATAGCATAAGTGGAAGATGGTAGCCAGCAAAAAGTAGGTGGGGAGGAAAATTGATGCGTAAGCGCGTGCAGGAGGTGAGGATTTCTGGTGAATGATGATTTGGAATAGTCAACTGGAGTAGTAGGCATCACAAGGTCGGCGGTTGAATTAGGCCCTTTCCTTTGGTTCATGAGTCTGTCTTTGGGGGTGTGCATGAGTTCGCTATGACCTTCTTTGATAGTCGCGGTTTGATGGTTGAATGTGACCACGAATGGATATAGTTGAATCAACTGTGATTCCTCTTCTTTCTCTTTTTATTTCACGAATCCGAATCGATTGAAGAAGGAATTTACTTATCTAAAGGAAGAGAATCATCAACTATTTCACCGGGGATGAGCTCTATGGCTATTCTATTAAGTAAGGATCCACTTAGGCTTAAGCTAGAGCTGCTCCTTCTATCACATCGGATTCTAGTAAAGAGATGGGCCTTCTCGTCTGATCTCTGCATCAACAGGAATGCGGGAAAAGCTTCTTCTCCCCCCAGAGTCCCTAGCAGCCTTAAGCCCGTAAGCTACTTCCTTTAGTGGAACTGGTTGCTATATAGGTCAATAGAATCTTAGCCAGTTTCTTTTGACTCCTTTTGTTCTCATTCCCGGCCAACCGTGCCATGAAGAGTCGAGCAAGAGCAATCGCAGCTTTCTCTCTGCCTTTGCAGCTTTCATTCCTGGCATTTTTCCTTATAAAAGCTTCAATCTACAAAAGTAGAACTACGGATGGCAGGCCTGGCCTCAAACTGACTTGCTTTCAGACTTACTGGCTGAAGAGCAAAGAGATATCTATTTTACAGTAAATTCCTCTTAGAATAGCATCCCGCTCTTCCTCATCGAAAACCAACCAACCCTACTTAATTTGTTCTAGAAATGCTAACCAAGTGGCACACTGGGGCCATGGGTCATGAAAAAGGTTGACCGGACCCCCGCATCACCAGACTCCTCGTGGAGGAGGTCATAGATAACAAAATGGTTGAATCAGCGGTAGGGGGCATCATCAGATTCGGCCCAACCCCCGGGCAAGCCGCCGCAAGAAGGAGGGGCTCAAAATCAACCAGCCGACACGCCCCCAGTCGCGGGTCCATCGCAAGCCAGAAGGGACCCCACTCATGCCCCAGTAGGGGTGCCCCCATCATTATCCCCTTATGGGCAAGTAACCCAGGTTCCCCCCATCTCAGGAGGACATAGCTGCCGCACTTGATAAGTACTTCCAACGTGTAACTAAAATTGGTGTGCGGTCAGATTTTCTCATTAGTGTGCAGGGCGCCCTCCAGCTCCGCGAAGCAAACGCGGAGAAACGTACAAAAATTTTGTCTTTTTACTAAAGATCAAAGAGTACACTTGTACTCCGGCTAATCAAAGGAAGGTTTTTTTTAAATCCAAGATTGACTCTGATTAGATCCTTAGCGCAAGCGCTAAGTAAGCAAGCTACCTTATGTAAAAACCGAGGAAAATAACGTAAAGTAGAAAGGAACAAGGTCTTACGGCACGATCACTATATCTTTTCTTTTTTTTATCCGACCAGAGAGATTTTTTTATAAAGATTCTCCATTCAAAACAAAAATGAAAAAAGTCTAAATAAAACAAAGGCGCATACGCGGGAGGGAAGGGGGCCCCAATACTTCTTCATTCAGGGGGGAGACTAGCCTCATTACTTCCCATCGGGCGATCGGTGCACCTAACCCACCTACCCACTCATCAATCACGGTGTTCGGCTGACTTGCAAGGATAGACCCCTATTGTATTGGAATTAGGCGCCCATCTTTTTACTGTTGTCAATTAATCTCTTCAATGTTTGATCCTACTCTATGTTAGAACATTTCTGTGAATGCTATTCTGATCTAAGTGGTCTTATTCTGTGTCCCGTGCTAGGAAGCATTACTCCTCTTTTCATTCCAAATTCAAGAATACGACCGATACGATTGATTGGTCTGTGCGTCTCTCTTATTACTTTTTTGTATCCCCCTGTTCTTCGGATACAATTCGACCCTTCTACGGCCAAATCTCAATTTGTGGAAAGCCTTCGATGGCTTCCTTATGAAAACATAAATTTTTATTTGGGTATAGACGGTATCTCTTTATTCTTCGTGATATTGACCACATTTCTGATCCCTATTTGCATTTTAGTGGGTTGGTCTGATATGAGAAGTTATGGGAAAGAGTATATTACAGCATCTCTAATTCGTGAATTTCTAATGATTGCCGTGTTCTGCATGCTGGATCTTCTACTATTCTATGTTCTTTCCGAAAGTGTGCTAATCCCTATGTTGTGCGGAGCTGAGCATCTTCTATTCGCTGGGATAAAGCTTTTCCTCTGCAGGGGCCTTGTGCAGTAAACCTCCTGTGGGCGGTCGTCCGTCGTCGTAAAGTAGTCCCCGCGAAGCTTTCGGGAAGAGGGGTAGTCTTGTGTGTAAGCATAGCATTTCTGGTCGAACCCGCCCAACCCAACTAATAAGAACCGAACCTGACAGATACATCTTTTTTCTTTTGGGAGGGTACTCCGAGTAGTGGGTATCTTGTAGGACCTCGACTCGCCTACTAAGATCTTGTATGGATATGCAGGAAGGGGTGCTCCTAGGTGTGTGTAGGGGTTGTGTTTGTTCGCGAGAATGGATTCCTCGTCAAGTCAGTTTGGGGGGTGTGGACACACTTGCGCGAATTTGGGTAACGGCTACAAGGGAAAAATCGAAAGGAAACTGTACCCGACTAGGGATGGACGTAAACTCGTAAGCTACCGAGGGTAGGGATAATCGTCCAGGTCTTATTGTGAAAGAAAAAAAGCCGCCCCGCCACAGCAGGCGGGTTGCCTCCTTTGTCGTCGCCGGGGAGCTCTTGGTGAGGAGACCTTATGAAAAGTTGCTAAAATAAAGAGAGGGAGGATCAACCCGTTTAGTATAATTCCGAAGAAAGACTGACTGTTGTTGGCAGCAGGTAGAGACATTTTTTTGGTCCCTTCAAAAGGAAATGCGGGCAGGGTAGAGCTCGACAGAGGGTTCGAGAATAGGGTAGGGTCCTGCCTTAAAAGATTCAGATAAGAAAAGAGTTACAAACTTTCACCACAAGTTCCGGCCAGGATGATTGAGAAGATCAAACTAATTTGAACCGCTCACATCACAGTAGTAGTGTAAAGGCCGTAAGTCGGGGGCGGCTATAACATAAGGCTATTACTTTCACACCTCTCTCTATCTATAGATAGAGAGATCCGCTGCGTGAGCAACCCGACCGTGCCTTACATGTGCTTTATAGGCCGCACTCCATCTTTTTTCCCAACGAGCCTCTTTTTCTTTTGATTTGGAAGACGGGCATCTTCCGCAACGCAAGCACCATTGTTCGCCGCCACCCGAAAAGCAAAAGATTCGAGAGTCCAGCCTTAAAATACAAGCATAGATAGTGGTTTAATGCCAAGGCCGACGACGGAAGCTCGGGACGGAGCCGTATGAGACGGAAGTCTCACGTACGGTTCTCTGAGAAGGGAGTGGCTACCTACTGGAGCTTCGACCAACCACCGCCGGTCAATTCCGCTTTGGAGCCACCCCTTACTCTACCATTATTATAGGAGTTTGGGGTTCAAGACAAAGAAAGATCAAGGCAGCATATCAGTTTTTCCTTTATACTTTACTTGGATCTGTTTTTATGCTATTAGCTATTCTGTTGATTCTTCTCCAAACAGGAACAACCGATTTACAAATTTCATTAACCACAGAATTTAGTGAGCGGCGCCAAATCTTTCTATGGATTGCTTTTTTCGCCTCTTTTGCCGTCAAAGTGCCTATGGTACCAGTTCATATTTGGTTACCCGAAGCTCATGTGGAGGCACCTACGGCAGGATCCGTCATCTTGGCAGGAATTCTTTTAAAATTGGGAACCTACGGGTTTTGTAGATTTTCAATACCCATGTTTCCCGAAGCGACACTTTGTTCCACTCCTTTCATTTATACTTCAAGCGCAATTGCTATAATATATACTTCCTTGACCACTTTAAGACAGATCGATCTTAAGAAGATCATTGCTTACTCTTCAGTAGCTCATATGAATTTGGTGACTATTGGTATGTTTAGTCGGGCGGCGGCCGTTAGGTCACCTATTTTGAGTTATAGTTATGGACACACAAGGCCAAAACATGTGTGCCGGGCGTGCGACCCATCAACCTACTAGCAATGGGGAAGAAAACATAGCATGTCGCAAAAAAAGTTTGATTCGAGGCGTCAGCAAAACACTGCCGTCTGTTCCAAAAACTAAAAAAAGCCCCTTAGCACCCCGGGGCGGGAGTGGGGGACGGCCCTACGCGCAGGCAAGAGCAGCACCGGCTCTACGAAGTCAGAATCTAATCTTTCTGTTGGCTTTTTCCCAATTCATTTGTGAATAAGAATTGAAGGGCGTAAAGCGAGTGCTTCTAGCTGCTTCGCCTGCTTCTTATTATGGCGGCTATGTTTTCGTGGCGGAAATGAACGAAAAGCGATATGAACGTGCTATTTTCAAATCGATTGATAGATAGCCTGATCTGTTCTGATAGATCGATAGAGATAGAGAAGGGAATCTATCAAGAATAAGGGGAAATCTCCTATTTCTATCTATTGATGAGACAACTATCTATTCTTGATCCATCAGATACATATCGATTTCTTTCTAATGGAGTCTACATCGTACGTAGAGCGCCCGAGCGCTTTTTAGGCCAGCTCAGTTCTCTTATCCTTATCCATTGGTCCAATGCACTGGGCTCATCTCATGGAGGGAAAAGCCAGTTTGTCTTGTTTGCCGCCTGACCCTTCTCTCCCCGGTATCGTCCCACACAGAAAGAAAGAGCGCGGAGCCCCGGCCCGACCTGCAGGTCCGCTAACGTAAAGCGAGGAGTTGAGCCTGAACTGGCAAAACGAAGTCACTTTCGGAACCATACTTCCTACAGCTAACATGTGTCCAGTCCCGCGGGAACGCGCAGCGCAAAGGAACGTGAGCTGTTAGACCGAATCCCCCGCTGGCCATCGGGGACCGAGTGGTAAGGCCATGATCCGCAGGGGAAAATAGAACTCATTCTTCTATTGGGGACAGGTGCACGAACGACAACTCCAAACGTCACACACCCGCCGCCTACCTACCGTTTAGGTGACACCAGCGAGATCCAGCTAAGGTAAGGAACTTCGTGTCGCGGCTCCTCCACTCCGCTGTGGTCTCATGAACTGAACTTTTAAGCCTTCCCGCCCGCAAAGCGAATAGACGCTGTGCCGTGGGTAAGTTTTGGGGCGGGGAGCCGCAGAGAGACCAGAAGAATGATTCATTTTGATCGACGAGCTTTTTTTTGGACCTAGCGAAAAGGACTCTAAGCCTTCAGGCAAGCAAGCGCAAAAGAAGCAAGCAAAGTAGAAGTAGAAGCTTTGCCAGAAGTAAGACGAGGAAGCAGAGCTGTCTACGAAGCGGTAGCTTCCCCCGACCGACTCAAGTACAACAGCAACAGCCGCGACCTACTTTAATTCAAAACAAAAGAAAGGCGAAGGTTTTGGCAACAAGCAAACGGCTTTCTATCATAGTTGCAATGGAGGGTTCCAACCCTTAATTAAGTACCAAAGGCTGCTTTCGACTGGTTTCATAAGGGAGCTGTTCACTACAAGCTATCAGCGCTCAGCGCTGTCTTAGATTGAAGGTCGGCTTATCTTATTGCCGTTCAATCTCTAAGTCGGGTTTCCGCTGAGAACGGAATAATGCTCGTGTCCAAAGGTAAACAAAGCCCTAGCTTTTAGAGTTCGCCGCTTTTCCCAGGCCGGAGAAGGGCTTATACTGCTCGCCTTTGTTTGATATGTTCATTCAGTACCAATACAAACTCAAACTACACTAAAATAAAATGGAAGGGAGCGAGTGGAGTAGTAGAAAAGAGTGGAAGGGAAGGTAGAAGTAGCTAGCCTATAGTAGTCGGCCTAACCAAAGCGTCACGACAACATAAAATTAGCCTTATGAATTTAATCTTAAGTAGGGGACTAGCTTGCCTACCAATCAAAGAGGCTGAGAGTAAGCGTAAGCTCTTCGAGCTTCCCTTCATTTGCTTCGCGGGAGCCGCACAGCACATAGCTGGAAGTCAGAGGGCCCATACTACCTGCCTAACCCCTCGCTCCGAGGGACCGTAGATCGGAAAGCGCCTTCTATACCACCCCATTCATCCAAAAGAGAAGGGAAGGGGCCTATGTATTTGCATGACCCCTGCAGATTTAACCCTATCTACACCCGAAGCCACTCCCCTAGCGGTCCTGCCACCACGTCGCAGAACGGGAGCTCGTGTAGAACCTTTTATTTCTGGCGTAACGGTGGTAAAATGTAACAAAATATCACACCCGAAGGGCCCGGCACGCACAATCCTATCCTATCCGAGTCCGAGTTTACCCCTTGCACTTCGGACAGCCGCCCATAGTAGCATCATAAGGAGGACCCCCCCTTTCGAGGCCGCTAAGGAAAGAGTAAGGTACATAGGAAGTTGGTCTTTCTCAACGTGGTGTATAGCACGAAAACCCTTTCGATACAACGTTCACATGAAAGAACAAATTTTCCTATCTTCTCTTTCCTTCGGGGAAAAGATAAAGAGGGTCTTATGGGGGAGGGGAAAGGCTTGGGCCTACCTATCCCGATAGGACCCCATAAAAAAACGGGAGCTGTTGAAAGGTTCCATATTGCCGAGACAAAGGGCAGCACTTCTGTACGTGATCGTAGTATGTCACATCGTCTCGTCCCCGCTGCATCGAAGAGTACCTATGCACTATGTTCCGGTTCACTGATAAGGAAGATAGATTTTGGGTGGGGGTCTACGATGCGATACTTAAGTATGACCCTGGGAGATAATGCTAACTATGGGTAGAAAGCAGGAACCATTTTGTAAAAAATTTCGGAGGGGTTACAGATCTCTTATACTACCATCGATCGACAGAGCGGAACGACCAGAAAAATAAGTTAAGTTAGAAAGCCGTATGATAGGCGGTAACTATCTTGTACGGTTCGGAGGGTAATCGGCGTACTCCGATCAGTGGGGGGATCTTTTGCTCTATCGAACATACAGGGAATTGGAGGTAGCATTCTACCGATGTCAAGTCATGGACTGGTTTCTTCAGCCCTTTTTCTATGTGTTGGTGTTCTATATGACCGACATAAGACTCGACTTGTTAGATATTACGGAGGTTTAGTGAGCACCATGCCGAATCTCCCTACCATTTTTTTCTCTTTCACTTTGGCTAATATGAGTTTACCTGGTACTAGCAGCTTTATCGGGGAATTTCTCATCTTAGTAGGAGCTTTCCAAAGAAATAGCTTAGTAGCCACATTAGCAGCGCTTGGGATGATTTTAGGCGCGGCCTATTCTCTTTGGCTATATAATCGTGCGGTTTCTGGGAATTTAAAACCCGATTTCCTCCATAAATTCTCCGATCCAAATGGCAGAGAAGTTTCTATATTTATACCTTTTTTTGTTGGAGGGGCGACCGTTCGTTAAACTACCAAAGAAATAAGGGTAAACCAATGTGATCATGACATTGTAGGTGCTTGCAATGGGACGGATGCGACTTCCCTCAGTTGGTTTGGGTGGCATAGCCCGTTGCAAAAGTCCCCCCTTTCTTTTCCATTTCTTTAGTCTTTGCTTTACTAAACTAAAAAAAGGCTCGCGCTAGGCGCGTACCTTTTTTTTTGTTGAGCCTTATCGTATCTTGCTGGGTGAGACCGATAGAAAGAAAAGACGGGGGGCAACCATGCATGGTACTTCTCGACCCTGTCTCCGAGGGACAGTTGAACGAGCGACTCATGAATGCTGTCGGGTCGTACGAGCCAATAACTCGAACGCGTTCGGTCTGTTTTTTGAGCAAGAATCACAGCCTTACCTTATCTTCACCATGATACGGACTCCAAGTTCTTATGGCAGAGCACGAGGAGATATATAATATATATATAATGATGATGAGAATGGAAACCAGAAGCACGACTGGGGTCTTCGTGGTCCAAGAAAATAAAACCATCAATAACAGTAACGTAAGCATGAGACTTTTTGGTAGTACCGGTGAACCAGATGGCCGCGGCGAGAAAATCTGGGACGGAGGACTTGTAGTATCTCTCTTGATCTGGCAAAAGCGAAAGAACCCCTAACATAATTCGAATGGAGGCTAACCTCTTTTTTTATTGATTCAATACAATAGGGGAAAAGATCGTACAGTTCCCTACCGATACAAACTCTCAACGGATCCTTCGCGCGCTGGGCATACCTCTTCCCGCGTCTTTCTCGTGGCAGGAACAGAACAACAGAGAAAGACCCAGCCGACCGGCCCAGGGCTCGAGGGCGCGCTTTCTTTTTTTAAGAGAGAATGGGGAGTGAATCGAAAGGCTTCCGTTTCCGTTCTTGGTTTGGGGGCTTTCGGGCCCCGATCGATCTTTTTCGTAGTTGAGAAAGGGGGAAAGGGGTCTAAATCAATGGACATTAATGAACCATCATTGATGGACGTTGCACATGACACGATCAATTCGACTCAAGGTCCGGCGCTAATAGAAGTTGCTTACTCTCCTAGTAGCGAAGGAAAAGGGCAGGGCTTTTTTCGTATTAATAGTGGGCGGGTCTCATGAGATCTTTTCTAGGATTTCTTATCACGCCACACATGAAGATCTTTCCATTGAAAGATAAAAGACCTTAAACAAATTCTTAAAGGTTAGGTTACTACCTGCTTCTACGGAAAAGGTTTACTTTGTACCGCCCGGAGGTCATATAGATCGAAATCCGGAGCAATAAGAACGAAAGGGTTGGTGTGGCCACAGCTATGACTACTGGCGCTTCAAAAGGCTTAGATTCTAAGGGCGCTACTGAAACCCTTCCCCTATTTCTTTTAAGCATTTCAGTCTCTATTTGGCCCGCTTCAAACAAAATGAGAAAAGCGGTCAATAGCATAGCTCTTTCTTTCCCCGGCCTCCTTTCGAAGGAGAGGCGCTCGTATTCCTAATCCGGTAGGGCCGGACGGCTTTGTTTGGCCCCAGCTTGGCGAATCGCATCCCCCGCACAACGACATTATTTGTGCGCCCCTTACCGTTCTCGCTTAGTCTTTCAACGGCTGGGAAGGCAGTGGTAGAAGCGAAGCCTATGGCCACGCCGACCATCAAATAGGATATTGGGCTCCTTCTCAAAGATTTGATGGAATGGCCTAGCCCACCCAAGAGTGCTTATGTCATTGGGGAACTCATGGCTGGAAACAATCCTTATGGTTTGTTTTGATATCCGGTAGGAATAATCAAAATGAAAGTCCAGGTTGGTTGGTGAGCCTAGTGATAGGAGACTATCTAGCTTGGTTCGGAGAGCACTTGTTGGGTTAAAGATTATATTGTTGCTAAATCTTACGGCCTAAATGCTGAACTATTGACTCTACTTGTTTGGATGGGTGTTCACCCCAAAGTGTTCCCGGACCGCATGCATACATCCGTAAGTAACTTAGTGCAACATGGCAAATTTCATTGAGAGAAATCAGCAAAGAAAAGAAAAAGTATACAAAATTCTATTAGCGGGAGGAATCAAGAAAATAGGACTCCCTTCTGGGTAGCAGCGAATAAGGGGCTTAAGTCAAGCAAATCCAGGGGGAAGGAATTCATTTAGCGACGAACTCTTCTTTAACCCAAAAGGTCGTGAGGCGCATTCTCTTTTTAATAATCTCTTCCCTGCAGTTATTCTTGTTCTTGGGGCTAAGGATGTTACCAAAGGTGAGGGCCTTCCCGCTAGGGCAGCGAAGTTCGTGCTAAATGACCGAGCGAACGTATCTGGTTGCGAGTCTTCCCCTACTGAGAACAGAGCAGCCGGGTGAATTCTGCTCTGATTCCTGAAAATTTTTATCCTTATTCTTAAGTGGAAGTCCTTTGTCTTAAGTGATCTATTAGAAACCTTCCCCGTGACCCCCGAAGGGTAAGAAAGAGATGCTCCGTGTAGCTAACCCCAAAGTCTGGTAGCCTTTGAAAATAGATTTATGACGTAACTGCCTATCATGCCAAGCTTGACCCTCTTGTTCTAGCACAGGCTGTTGACATCTTCCTCGGGATGGATCAATTTGTGTAAACGATCGCTTTCTATGTTTCCCAATCGATGCGGTACTGCCAATCGTAGACAGGTGACCGGGGAATGAGAGCTGAAGCTCCATAAACCATGATGAATGGAGTGTTTCCAGTCGGTGTTTTTTAGGTTCTTTGTGTATATGTCTAACTGTAGGTCACCTATGCGACCAATCCTCGCCATTGGTTTCACAGCACTGAGTAAGCATACTAATGAAGACCGATTTGGCCTGTCCATTCGCTCCAGGTAATTTAATATGGGCTCGACTTCCTTTGAGCTATGAGAAATGAATAGGGTAGAAAGAAGAAGTAATCCCGGGCTGGCC